CCAGCCTCAGCAAAAGCTAAAAAATTCAGTGGGACCCTATCTCTAAAGAAAATACAAAACAGGGCTGGGGATGTGATTTAGTGATTGAGTACCCCTGAGTTCAATCCCCAGTTCCTCCCCCCAAAACAGATAAAATTACTTTGGGGAAAATAAAAACAGATACCCATGTTAAAAAGCTACCAGTTATCTGGTATTTCTACATTTAGGAGAAAATGGCTCATTAACAGTTCCTGTCCTCAAGGGATGGGAGAGATTCCAACTCTCACCAAAATGAAAGAAAACTAAGGACACACCAGCGATGAAGAGGAGCAAAAACTGGGCCAAAACTGACTCATGAAGCAAAGCAGCAAGTCTCAGTATTCCTGACCACGTTCTCTGTGGTTGGTTTTAGGTCAGAGGAAATCGGTTTTATAAACTGCCTTCCCATATATTCATATTTTGATTTCATTTCCCTTTAAGAAGAGTATTCCCTCTGAAAAAATCCCAGGCTTAAGTAAAGTAAATGAGCCAGGCACAGTGGTGCATGCCTGTAATCCCAGCAGCTCAGAAGGCTGAGGCAGGAGAATCACAAGTTTCAAGCCAGCCTCAGCAATTTAGCAAAGCCCTAAGCAATTTAATGAGACCCTGTATCTATATAAAATACTAAAAAGGAGGCTGGGGACACAGCTCAGTTGGTAGAGTGCTTGCCTCACATGTACAAGGCCCTGGGTTTCATCCCCAGCACCACCACCAAAAAAAATAAAAAAGATTATATATATGGTTGAGGTTGTGGCTAAGCAACCCTGGGTTCAGTATTTGGTACCAACAGAGAACAGGTTCAGTAAAGGTATCTAGCCAGAGGAGGAGGAGGAGGAGGAGGAGGAAAAAAAAAAGAAAAGAAAAACTAAATGAAACAGTAATTTATCCTAACACATGCAAGGCCAGCAGAAAGAAGGCAGCCCCAGGAGGGAGGATCCAAGAGGAAAGCTTGAAGACTGAAGGGCAGCAAACTCTGGTCTATTCTTGTTTGAGGCGTCCATTACCTCTCTAAGTCACTGCCCTACCAGCAAGAGCCCCAGAGGCAGTCTGGAAAAGCTCAGATTCCACCCTAAACTTTGAACTCAGTTGCTTAACTCAAACTCTAACTAGCAGGATCTCCAATAGGCTCTCTTACTATCACCTAGGAAAGTGACCTATTGTCACTTAGCAACCCCACTCTATTAGGAGATCTAAAAAGCATCAGCAGCATGAAAAGGCACATTAGACACAGAGTAGACTACTAATGAGGTCCAACCCAAAAAAGTACAGCACAATATTCAAGAAAGATCTCCAATATGTCAGATACCAACCACCCCCACAAAGAGCAGAGCCTTAAAAGCCAATTCAGGAAAAGATTACACAAACTTCCTGTCCCCCCACCCCAAACTGCTTGTATTTACCTTGTATTTACTAGATGCTTCTAGTCAGAAGACAGGTAAAGTTATACCTACATCTACCCAGCTACTCAGGAAGCTGAGGCAAAAAGATCCCAGATTTGAGGTAAGCCTGAGCAACTTAAAAAAAAAAAAAAAAAAAAAAAAAAAAAGTGACATTGCAGTAGCATCCAAAACAATGTATATATAATGAACCCTAAATTATATACTTTAATTAATAATAATGTAGAAATATTGGCTCATCAATAATGCAAGA